AAGTTGGGAAAATACAGCTTGAATAAGATACTAAAAAATCTGGAATAAAATGGTAACAAGACATGGCTTTGTACATGGGAAGACTGAAAAAGCAGGATTTCAGTCTTAACTGAAACTATCCACATGCTCCTCATGTTTACAGATTCACTTTAAATTCAGTCAACATAATACTTTTGGGTACTAAGAAAACGAGAACGTGCAAAGAGTAGGTTTTGCCCCCACCCCTTCTCAGGAACTAATGATTCAGTGCAGAGACAGACAGGAATGAACACATTTCTAGTCCGATGCAGACTGCGATCAGTGTTTGGCATGATGCCTGGAACAGAGTAGCTCAGTAATAAACTGTTGAATGAATCAACATGGCAATAAGGAACCAAGTGTCATACAAAGGATGGAATATTTTTTTCCTAAGAGGGCAGAACAGGTATCGATGCACTTTAGCTGAAAGGAAAAGGATGGGAAGGATCTCAAGGTGAAGAGAGAGGCAGGGTAAAGGATGGGGAAAAAAACAAGTAAAGGGAAATACAACACTTGTTTAAGGAAATAGTTGGAAAGTGGGGAGGTTGAGTCAAGATCATGAAAATCTTTTAAAAGGATGCTAAGGAATTTGGACTTTATCCTCAAATAAAAGGAGATTCATTATATTCATCAGTGGTTTGTTTGCAAAAGAACAGGAGAGTGGTAGCATCAGAGCTGTGGTTTAGAGTGAGGTGTAGGCTGGGCTGGGGAAGTCCAGGCGTAGAGATGGTACAAGAAGCTAGATGACCTAGAAGACCCACAGCAAGGGGCTTACCTAGGGCAGGTAGGGTAGAGCACTTGGGGATTAAAGCCCACTGCAGCCATCTCCCCATTTATTTTATGAAACATTAGTGGGCAGAGCCATCCACAGCTTCAATTCCCAAATCTCGGGACAAAAGAATATCGCTTTCTGCAAGCGAATGAGTAACTTATTAAGATTCTTTTCACAGGTGTCACCTAACAGAGTACCAAGGTAAAGTAAAATATAAAGTTTCAGAATCATCATATAAAAAGGATTGCCTGAATCCATTATCCACTGGCCCTGAAACCACTGTTTTTTTTAAAATTTATTTTATTTTTTATACAGCAGGTTCTTATTAGTTATCTATTTTATACATATTAGTGTATATACGTCAATCCCAATCTCCCAGTTCATCCCACCACACCCCCGCCCTGCTTTCCCCCCTTGGCGTCTATACGTTTGGTCTCTACATCTGTCTCTATTTCTGCCTTGTAAACCAGTTCATCTGTACTGTTTTTCTAGATTCCACATATACGCATTAATGTATATTTGTTTTTCTCTTTCTGACTTACTTCACTCTGTATGACAGTCTCTAGGTCCATCCACATCTCTACAAATGACCCAGTTTCATTCCTTTTCATGGCTAATATTCCATTGTATATAGGTACCACATCTTTATCCATTCATCTGTCAATGGGCATTTAGGTTGCTTCCATGACTTGGCTATTGTAAATAGTGCTGCAATGCATATTCGGGTGCATGTGTCTTTTTGAATTATGGTTTTCTCTGGGTATATGCCCAGGAGTGGGATTGCTGGGTCATGCCCTGAAAACACTTTAAACACTGTAAATGTAAAACAGCTTTACAGAGTATACTGATTACAAAAAAGTTCCAGTTCTCACTGTTCTCATCCCCAGAAAAGGCCGGGTCCTTCTTGCTACCTTCCAAACACACTGAGGTTTCTTAATTTTAATATAATGTTCCCCTTGTCCTTGACATTTACTCAAGAGATGGTGACTGATCAGGACTCATTTCCAAAATGACAATCCCAGTGCCATCTGAAACAAAACTAGTCATCCTTCACTAACTGTTCACTATAAACATTTTCCTTGAAGCAGACACCTCAACTTTACTTGAGTTCAAACACATATATGCACATACATGCATCACACTTTCAGAGTTGGTTAAAAAGACCATGAAAAATCAAGTTTCTTACTATCAAGAAACAAGTTAAAAAATCACAAAGCAATGTTCATTCCATTATTAACCATTTTTTTTAAAAGTGCAACTCTGCAACTTCATATTCTTTCAGTCCAAGGCATTAAGATTTGTTCATCTCAATTCACATTTTCATCCCAAGTTCCCTCAGTTCTCTGACAAAAGTCAATTAAAAATGGCACCCAAAGAGAGATGGCATTTAAACAATATTCTTTCAACACTGGAATTCTCAGACACTTTGCTTAAAAAAATATTCCTCAAAGGAAAAAGACAACCACAAACTTGCAACAATACCAAATGAGAAAATAAAATTCTTCTGTTATTTCAAGAACTTCAAAGTCTTTTAGAAAAACTCAATATAAAATTGGTATACAACTTAAAAATTGTTATTTTACCCTTTCTAAATCATTCTAGATTTTTTTACTTCAATAAACAGAAGAATGTAATTTTCTAATCTTGTATACTTATAATTTTAAATATTTTTATAAACGTAAGAGTTAAGTATTATCAAGGAAAATGTATATATTATTTACTAGTTTATTGCTATAATCATTAGTTTTGTAGATTTACAAAATTTAGGTTAAAATTTCCATTCAAGGAATTTGGGAGTCTACCACAGAAATCACAATTATCTTTTGGTGCATGTTTTTTGTTAGCTGTATTTTTTTCAGTGTACAATATTTACATAGCCAAGAAAGAAGATTATTCATAAAGTTTTCAAGCATTTTGAAAAATCCCATTGGAAAAAATACAACTTACACTGGAAAAAATTTTGACACATTTGTAGATTCAGAATAACTGAGAAATCTATTTCAAAGTAAATCATGCCTCAATGTGGACACGATCATTATCTTCGAATATGAAATTTTATACTTTGTTGCCCTCTGCATAGTAAATTAAGGGGGAAAGAGAAAAAGAAAAATTCTGAGGAGTCAATACAAATGTCACATGCATACAGTCACGAGGTATAATTTCAGTAACATAACTCTCCAGAGCATTTCACCAAATCCTGCTTCTCCCACTGCAAAGAATGAAGCTTCTACTGAAACTGATGGTCAGATGGAAATGAAATACTCTACCACCAATGGCACTGGGCAATGATCTAGAAGCTGGGATGTTTTCCAAGAGAAAATGCCATCTCAGACCCTAACATGAAAAAAATATTTTGTAAGTATATTTATGTGTTTGAATTTAATTAAAATTCATAGCTTGAATGATCTCCAAGAGGTAGACGAACCAAGTCAGTCTCAAATCTTCATATAATCTTCACACAACCTTACTTCCACATCACAAGAGGCCCACCCAATCTCTATCTTACTATTAAAATTCCCAATTGATAACTGAAAACAAAGTGCTCAGGATATTCATTGGATCCATTTTAGAAGCACCTATTTATTTACACAGCTACGATAGTGAAAAGGTCAAGCAAAAAATCACCTCCAAAACCACGGTTGCTAAGCAACTCTTTTCAGAAGTTCCGCAACAGTGATCAAGCATATTACTGGTGCCACCAACTGGATTCAGAATAAATGTGAATAACATCTTACCTGGTTTCTCCAAAGCGGGAGCGGGGAGGATCCTTGCTTAGCTTTTCGGACAGATCCTCGAGGTCAATCCTGTATTTATTTAGTCTGTTAGAATCAGAGGCTTTCTAATTTTTCTCTCTTTAAAAAAAAAAAAAAAAAAAAAAGGATACGTCCAGGTACCACAGGTTTCCTGTTCACCAGAGCAAAGGACAGCTCTGTTTTGAGAAACACCACAGAGGGCTTGATGAGATGTTGGCCGAATCTGAATGACATTTCCTCACGGTTTGAATTCTGGAAGAGAAGATGATGTAGAAAATGGACATTTATAAAATTCAGTTGAGAAACTCAGATCATATACCACTTTAAAGAAAACAAAGTCCATTACTACAGATTCTTAGTTGTAAAGAAGACATCATTAAAGCTGTTCCCCATTTAATGTCCACTAGAATGTATTCTGGGTAAGTCCTCCTAAAATATTCCACTCTCTCTATGCTGGGTGGATTTACAGTTTTCAAGCAAAAACTTGTATGTGTCTTCTTAAACCCCTCTGCACTTCGGGGAGCCACCTTAACCCAAATCCACTAGGTCCAATCTGTCAGGTACTATTTTTAACCATCTGCTTCATCATCTTCGCTAAGCTGAACATTTTTATGGTTAAGCACTGACTATAAACCTTCTCATTCTTAAATAGGTACCTGTGGGGACTCCCTTTTCTCAAATGGTTTTATCTCTGTTTATATAAAAGCAATTTAGAAAAAGTATAAACACTGTTTGACCTTGTGTACAATTACAAAAGCATGTGGGGTACTCCCAGAGAACTATAGTAAAATTTCAAAACTTAAAGCAAAAAAAATTGAGGAAAAAGAAGGGACAAAATAGACTTCAAGATGAAAACAATTCCTGGTTGATGCAGACGTATTATGCAGCAAGGTATGTGAAATGTTGCATATCCTCTTTTCTGGAGAAAGCCATGGGTTGGGGTAGTGGGGAGAAGACAGGGGAAAGCAAGATTTGACACTTGGCATCTAGGGTACCAAGGAATGATTCTCTATCAGTCAGTGCCTATACATGACAAAGTTACTTTCTGAATGACTAAAATGCACCTTCCTTGGGAAATCACTTCATTTTTCTAATTCAGGAACCACCCTACTACAAAACTGATGAAAATGGAACCCCTCATGGGAAAATAGAAATAAGACTACAAAAAGGATGACATCAGAAAATGGAGGACCATTTTATTAAGCATACCAATAAATGTGCAATTGTTTAATGATGCTAATATTCTCAATGACCCAAAAGATACAGAGGGCTATGCAAAATTCATCTACTTTAGAAGCACTCAAATAGCCGGAACTTAACACATTTCAGGTACAAAGGAATAGTATGGAAGTTTTGCCTCAGTGACACAAATACTGGTTTCTAGAACAATTACAACCATCTCACAAAAATGAAAGGTCAGTAAGGACGTTGAAAATCATCTAACCCAGTGGATTTCAAGGTGTGTTCCCTGGAGCAGTTGCATCAACATCACCTGGGGAAATCAGAAAGGCAAATTCTTGAGTCCTACTCCAAACCTATCAAACCAGAAACTCTGGGAGAAGGGCCCAGAAATCTATGCTTTAATCTGCCTGGATCTCCCAGTCCTTTCCTGCAGAATCTTTGCCTGGTAGCTTGTTAGCCCATGCTTGAACATACTCAGTGACAGGACATTCACTATCCATTCCTTCCAAGATCATCAGCTCCAGCAATTATATGGTTGCCCTTCATACTAAGTCCATCATTTTGTGATGGATTTATGCCTTGAGGGTTATATGAAACAAGTATCATGCAAGTGAAAGTGCTTTAGATATCTGAAGTTAACCTTTATTTTTTCCCTCCAGTTTTTCTAGAATAAACATGCAATTCATTTCAATCATCCTACAAACAGCATTGATTCAAGTGCCCTAAAGCTATCTGTGTGGGTTTTTTTTTTTGTTTTTATTTTTTTTGCCTGCCCAGCATCCATTTTCTGTAGTTTTGGCCATACCACCCTAATTTTTCTGTGGGTAATACCCCACCATATTCCATACGTTGGGCCACTCCTACTGCCTGGTTCTAGGGATGGGAAAGTGACCCAGGCATCAGTAGTCTTTTGTCACATGAGTGATTCAGGAGTGGATACAGGACAAAAAAACGAGCCAATCAAAGGAAGGATACCCATGAAAGGATTACTGCTGATACTATGGGGAAAGGGCTTTTTCTTTCTTCTAAGATGCCAAACTGGTAGGACATGAACCTGGAAGAGCTAGAGGATACACCAACAGGAGGCTGTCTGATATTAGAGCCAACACGGAGGCTATGAAAGCCAAGATACACAGAGACCCATACCTGATGACACTGTTTGAGAACCTGGATCTAACAGTGCTGGAAGGATTATATGTCCCTGGAGTTTGTTTCCTCTAACGGATAATTGTACAGAGTTGACTTAAGCATAGGCTCTAGCTGATGAGCTACTATTATGAGTCCATGAAAGACTCTCTTCTAGATTTCATTTTTCTTCTTATCATCATTTTCATTTCTTCCTCTATGCCCAAACTCGTTCCTTCCTCTCCCACGACAGAGCTTCATTTTTTTAAATATAATTAATGTATTTATAAGCTTCATGGCAGTTTTATAAATATTTTATACATCAAACATATATAGGGCTTTTGTACATACTTTTTAAATTTCTACAGAAGTTGTATTGTGCTTTAAAATTCTGCCTTTTTATCTCAACACTGTTTTACAGACTCATTCATGTTGTTATAAGCAGATGTAATTTACTCTTTCTCACTGCATTCCACTGTCATTTTTCTTGTCCATTCTTTTAGTACTGAAGAACTAGCTTTCTCCAGTCTTTCACCACAGATCACACTAATGACCATACTTACATGTATTTCCCTGGGTGTCGAAGCTAGAGTCCCATTATTGGGTTTTAGCTTAGGTATTGATGCATACTTAGATTTTTTAAAATATGCACCATTTTGCAATCCTTGAAGCAATATATGCAGATTTCTATTTTCCCAACACTTGGCAGTATCTGATTTTGCCAAGGTTTTATTGATATGATAGGCAAAAGGCATCTTTTATTTTTAATTAGCTTGTCTCCAATGTGATATGTGTATGTGCACATTTCTCCTTGTATGAATCGCCAATTCGTACTTTGCCCTCTTTTGTATTGGTTTCTTCCCTCCTATTTTCGGATTTTTCTGGAGTCCCTTATATATTTAAATATTGATCTTGGTCTATTAAACACGACAGTTGTATTTTCACCATCTGTTAGTTTTTCTATCGTACACTCCATTGGACAAAAAGCACTCATCTTGATGTATTCAATTTTTTTTATGGTTTGTTCTCTGTGAATATTGTGAACAACAAACACTTCTCTACCATAACGTTACAAAAATGTATTCTTGGGCTTCCCTGCTGGTGCAGTGGTTGAGAGTCCGCCTGCCGATGCAGGGGACGTGGGTTCGTGCCCCGGTCCGGGAAGATCCCACATGCCGCGGAGCGGCTGGGCCCGTGAGCCATGGCCGCTGCGCCTGCGCGTCCGGAGCCTGTGCTCCGCAACGGGAGGGGCCACAACAGTGAGAGACCCGCGTACCGCA